TCCGCTCCTCGAGGCTTCCGGCGGCCGACTCCTGGCTAGGTCTCCAGAAAACGTTCTGGGCGAAGTCGCTGGCGGGTCCGCTCCAGGGGACACTCCCCGTCGGCACTGATGCCCCCGGAAAGCGCTCGCGAGGCACAGCGAGAGTGCGGTTTCCTTTAGGGGCGCAGGCGACGCAGCGCCGTCTTCCAGCCCAGGGCCCTCTTCCCACCTCCGCCCTTTTCTCCCGCCCTTGGCCTCCTTCCCTCCCCCCGCCCCTCGCCCCTGCAGCCGTCCCGGCTCAAGACCTTGACATGCACTTGTTGAGCGCACCAGTGTCTGGCCAGCCAAACTCTCCGGCGCCATGGGGTGTTGAGTTGCTCTCAGCACCGTTGCCTGATAGTCGGTGGGCCGTCCGGCCTCGACCCAGGGCCTTGGATGCGCCTGCCTTGCTGGCCCGCCCTGCGACCAGAGGGCCGCGGGCACTTGTCGGCGCCCCTGCCGCGGGCGACGTGGCCCTCCAGTTCGCGCCGGTTCGGGGCGACGTTCTGCAAACATCCACGCAGACAGGGGCATTGTCCGCACGGGCCGCGCTCATGGACACCGCGCAAGACATCCTGCGAGCCGGGTGGGAGCAAAACACGATCCGGACGTACAGCCGAGCGTTGTCCGTGCACGTTCACGGCTTCGAACAGCAGGTCGATTCCAACATCCTCCCGTTGGATTCCCCGGATAAGCTCGTGCTCCTGTTCGCCAGCATGGACGGCATGGCATGGCAAACCATACGCCTCAACAAAGCAGCCGTCAGAGCGTGGCACCAGAGCAACAACTACAGCCAGGTTTTCGACGATTGCTGGGCCGATCGGGCTTTGCATTTTTGGCGAGGCCTGAAAAAGAGAGCATCCCACGCATCGCACCAAAAACGTGCGATTAGTGTTGAAGAGTGGGCGCTGTTTTGCACGGCCAGGGCGGCAACAGGCACGCCGGCTGGGCGGAGGGATGCAGCTTTCGCGTCGTTTTGTTTTTTCGGCTTGCGCCGCGTTTCGGAGGCGATCAACCTCCGCGTTCAGGACGTGCATTTTAAAGCCTCGTGCGCGTGTTGTTTCATCAGGAAACAGAAGAACGACCCGTGTGGCAAAGGCCAATGGTGTTTCATTCCGTTCAAGGTTATTGCTGGGCTATCCCCGGCGAAATTCCTGCAAGATTGGATGGATTGGAAAGCCGCGACGGCAGCTCACGTGCCTTCCCTATTCTGCACCACGACAGGTTCCCAACTCCAGCCTGTTAGCGCGGATTCGTGGCGCAAGGCGGTTTCGTCACACTTTAAGGACCCAGCCGCTAGCACGCATTCGTTTCGTAGAGGCGGAACAGAATGGTTCACGCACGTAGCAAAGATCCCCCCGCACGTGGTCCAACGGCAAGGTGGGTGGAATTCGGAGGACGTCATGCGTCATACGTACGCCGACACATCCCCAGATACGCTAATGCAGCGTTTCGTCGATAGCCTAGCAGCCTCTTCTGCAGAGCAGACGACGGACCGGCCGACCAAACGCTTGCGAGAGAAGACGGCATCCGTGCGCTCGCTCGGAGGCCCGCAAGGAAAAAAGACCGCCGGCTCCCAACACACACCGCTTCGCGGAACACCGCCTCAAGGGGGCCTGCTTCGAGGGGTGATCACCAGGTCGTCTCCTGGCGGCTCCTTCCCTGGTGGGCTGGGGGTACATTCGCCCCCTTGATGCTGGGGAAAAGCATCGACAACGTCGTGAGATCCACCATCTCAGCGCACCCAGTACAGCGCGGCGTTGCCCCATAGGGAGCTCCACCGAAGGCATCAGTAGCGGTGACCACATGCGTCCCCGCCACCCATTCCGGCACGCTCCTCACACGCTTCGTGGCCCCATAGGGGGTTCCACCGAAGGCCCCAGTGACCACATGCGTCCCCGCCATTCATTTCGGCATACCACTCGCACGTTTCGTGGCCCCTTAGGGAGCGCCACCGAAGGCCCCAGTGGCTGTGACCACATGCGTCCCCGCCACAAATTTCGTCGCCACAGAAGTCCGCAGTGGTTGTTACCAAATGCATCCCCGCCACAAGTTTCGGCACACCCCTCGCACGCTTCGTCGCCCCCTGGGGGGATCCAACGAAGGTCGCAGTGGCTCCCGAATGCGCCCGCGCCACACATTTCGGCACACCCTTCAAGCAGACGCTTTTGTTCGCACCGTCAGTAGCCCGACATAGTGAACCAGCGGGTGAAGATGGCGGCAGCGGCGCCGAAGGCGGAGCGACCACGAACAAACCCCATTGGCTCCTCGAGGGTTCCTCCGTTGCCTCCAGCAATTCTGGGAGAGCCGATTCGGCGCCGCCTGCGCCGAAGGCAGCCAAGAAGGGCAAGGAGGGCAAGGAGGCCAAGGGCGACAATGACGGCGACCAGGAGATGATGGACGCGACGCAGCATGGCAGGGGGGTGGGCGGGGCAAGGGTGGCCACAAAAGAGGCCGACGTTCTAGGCGCAGCGGCAGCGGCAACCACACCGAGACGAAGTGGATGGAGCTCGAAGGATCAGAACGTCCAAATGTGCTTGGCGATGCTCTGCAAACTCACACTCCAGACCACATTCCGATAGAGGGTACGCATGGCGACGTCGGTGGACACGTTCACGATGCCGAAGGCTCACTGTGTGATCAGTTGTCTTGAGTGCATCATGACAAAATACCGCAAGATGATCGAGACGGCGCGCACGAAGGGCGCCGAAACACTACAGAAATTAAAAGTCCACTGGCGTCGCCCGTGGTGTGCCTTCTCGCGAGCTTCACGGCATGGTGGCAAGGCCAAGAAGGACATACACAGCTACCTCGATCGAATCACCCCACCGACCGCGGACGTCGAACCGACCATCACTCGTATGAACTTGGCGCTATACGCGGTAGCGGTGCGCATGGAGACGTGCCACGCCGAACCGAAGATAAAGTTGCAGCTCGTGGCACCAGTGTGGCCGATGCGGGGCACAGTGAATAACGCCTTCCTCTCGGAGGGAGCAGCCTTGCGCCGCACTGGTGTGGCACCACCTGGATGGCTGGGAAACGGATAAACGCTTGGTGGCACAATGCCTCAGCCCAGACCTCCCTCCCCTCCTCCTGCTGCGGAGCCCGATTTCGATGACGACTGCTGCCCATTCGAATTCGAATCATCTGAGCAGTGGTAAAGCATTGGTGAACAGCGCCACCGAATGCCACCCATTTTTGGTCCCCCTCTCTCGGCGCTGCGCAACAGGGAGAGCCTCCGAAGGAGGCGCGCGGACTAGACCCATGCTGCTTGCCACCGCCTCGCCCGAGTGGCAGCATCGATCGAGCGAGTGCACCAGCCAGCAGAGTTGTCAGGACAGGAGCGCGCGCACTGCACCGATCCAGCGACGGGTTGCAAAACACACTGTACCTCAATTTTTTCCAGCCGGACATCGCCCCAGTCGTGGAGGAAAAAACACAAAGCGTCCTGACCCTGCCTCCTGCAGTTTACGTATTCCTCCTTATCCGAAACCTCCCCTTGTTTTCTTTTAGTATGTCGTAAGTGCTCTCTCTTGACGCGCGCCAGTGCCGGACCCGCGTTTGCTCAGTTTCTACCCTCAGCGTGTCCCGACTGTCATCGATGGCTTCAGGGCGGAGGCGCACATCATGAAGGCCAAAGCGACGGGCTTCGTGGCCTCTGAGGCGGCTGCGGCTGCGCTGGAGGCGATCGACCGCCATGAGGAGGAGGAAGGCTTGTCTGCTTGACCGCCCATGGTTGATAGGATAGCACCGTGTTGGGATGTTGACGAGGTCGTTGCACACGATGGTCATCGATTGAGGCGTGCTGGGGCTATTTTCTTATGTGGCAGCTGGGTTTCGTGGCCGGAATGCTTGACACTCCAAGGCGTTGTACGTCGATTTCGCTGGGGTGCTCAGCGGTGAAGGCAGAACCGCGCTCTACATGTCGAACATCCGATGGCTTCTCGGCACCCCAAGGGCAGCGAGCCGCCCGTCTACTCAGGGCAACATCCTTCCTTTCGGCCTGGGGACCGTGCCACCAACACCGACGACGTCTCCAACGACTTCGACGACGCCGTCGACGACGACGACGACGACACCGACGACGACGACGCCGACGTCGACGACGACGACGATGACGACGACGATGACGACGCCGACGACGACGACGACAACGACGTGAGAGGTTCGCGTCGCTAGCTTGCTGGGTTGGCCCTCGTCCCCGCGTTGGCCACCGCCCCTCGGATCGAGGAGGGGCGGCGCGGTGCCGCTGTTGTGAGGTTTGCCCCGGTTGCTGTCCGCCTGTGCTTCGCTGGCTTGTTGTGCGCCAGTGGCGCCCTGCATGTCTGCTGCGGGTTCGTCGAGGGTTGTCTTGTGCTCGACGCCTCGGCGTGCTCCTTTCGGGCCCAGCCGTTGCTGGGCCCCCTTGCTGGCAGCAGTCCAGGCTCGTGGTGGGCTGGGGGGGGGTCCCCAGGAGCCCCTCCTCTTCCTTGGCTTCTGTTTTGTGCTCGCCGGTTTCGGCGAGCTCACTCGGGCTCAGCGCCTGCTGGGCCCAGCGCCTGCCAGCCCGCGCTGGTAGGTGGTGGGTGAGGCCCCCCGCGAACCCTGGAAGTGAGTGGACTTCTCCTTCTGGCCACCGCCTGGGCAGCCCGCTGCTGCCTGTTGCTGCCCGCTGTCTGTGACGGCGCGCCATGCCTCGCATCCTCGCATCCTCCTCCGTGCCTCCCTATCCTGGGTCCTTCCTGCATGCTCATATTCGTCGTCGTCCTCCTCGTCCTCCTCCTCCTCCTCCTCCTCCTCCTCCTCCTCCTCCTCCTCCAGGCTGGCGGCTATCAGCCCACACAGACATCTTGCAACGCAAATGGAACCACCTGGATGCATCAAGGCCTTTTTTCCCACAACTCGCTGCCCCCCGACAGCCTCCCTCTTGTTCATGCCTCACCACCGCGTCTCCCGTTTGTTCACTGGCACTTTCTCCTCGCTCATTGCCTCCCGGTGCTCAG